CCCGTGAGGTGGAGGCAGCGACAAGATTCAGGGTCCGGCCCCCAGAGGGCAGCGGGGTAGGAGCCCATCTCTGGGACCCCGGCCTAGTGCTGTCTTGGGGCAGAGTGAGGTGAGGCGGCTGCCTGCCCGGAGAATTCTGGCTGGGTCCCAGGAGTCCTCAGCCCTCCTAATCCTGGGTAATGGTGTTGACACGGACGGTGACAATGGCACCTCGGGGAACCTTGGCCAGCCTGGCCCAGGGCAGAGCCCGTGCCAGGGCTTATCAGCTGCTGCAAATGAGCTTTCCCCAGTTAACCCTTACCTCCCTGCTCCTGGGAGGCTGGAATATGGACTGCACCTGTTCCCCAGATCCCACCAGTGTCCCCTCCTCCAGTGTCCCCTTGGGAGCCTCCTGCCCTGTGTCCACCATGGCTTGGGGTTTCACAGGAGCCCGGGAGGTCTATAGGAGGCACTCACCATGCAGGTGGAGAGGCAGGTTCAGGGCTGGCCAGCCTGCTGACCCCTGCTGACCCCTGCTGACCCTGGCTCCCCCATCCCCCGCCCACCCCACCCCCCAGTGGGGGCACACTCAGGCAGGCTTCCTGTCCCCCCACCCCTATCCCGTTCATCCAGCCCAGGGTGGGGGGAGCCCTGGGGAGCAGTCCTGTGTGCTGGATGATGTGCTGTGCAGCCTGAGCAGTGTCCCTGGGTGGCTGGGCAGGGAGCCCCTGTGGGGCAGTGAGCCCCCAGAAGGGATTTGAGGTTGGCAGATCTGGCCACCCTGCTCCTGAGCCTGACCTGCCACCAGCGGTGTGTGACCCTTCCCTGGGGTCCTGGTATCTGTTTACCCTCTGGGCAGGGCCCCTAATCCCTCCTCTGACTTTCTAGGATTCTGAGTCTGTGGTGGCTGCATGGCTCTGAACTCAGACCCCCACCTTACTGGCCCTTCTTCTTCCTCACCATCCAAGGGAGTCCCCGTGACAGGGAACTTTGAAGCCAGCTAGGCTGGGGGCCCACCCCAAGATCCCTCTACAGTATGCTGCACCCCCCAATTTTGCCACATTCCTTTTCTGTGCTGGCAGGAGAGAGGGGCATCCTTACAGTGGTGCCGTGGAGGCACTTGGGGCCTGCCCCTCCTCAGGCCAGAGGTCTCTAATTCCTGCTGCACCTCTGTGCCCTGGGGGTAGGCCAGGGTGGGTGGGGGGTGGGGAGGCCAGGTCAGCCTGAGCGCTGCTCTTGCCAGATGCTGCACCCCGGAGCCCTTTAGCCCCCGCCCCGGCCCCCAGCCTGCTTCCCTGTGGGCCAGGCCCTCCCAGGTTTAAAGGCCCTGCTTTCAACAGCTACTTTGGGCTGCTTGCCCCCCCCCTCAGAGCTGGTCCCTGGCTGCGGTTCGGCCTGGCAGGTGGGCCGCAGGCTCCGTGCCCTCCATCGCCTCCCTGAGCTGCTCTGCTGATTGGTTCCTGTCTCAGACGCTTGCTCTCCATTCATCTCCTTCCTCGGACTCTCCCGCTTGGCTCTCTTTGGTATTTTGTTTTCCTATCCTGCTCAGTCCTGGCCTTCTGTTTGCAGCACCCCCCACCTCCCACCCCGGAGTGTGGGGTCGGTCTGCTTCCTCTGCTGGCCTGTGTGCTGGGGGATAGCTATGGCCACCAGGCCCCTGGGCTCCAGGTGCGAGGCAGCAGCCCTCCCCCACACCTTAGTGGGTGTGCAGCTGGGCTGGGGGCCAAGTGCTGCTGTCAGCACCTTCTCCTTGCTGTCCGCCTTCCGTGGCAGTGTCAGGCCTCCAGGGGCGGTGGGCAGGCGGCCCAGGGACTGGGACAGAGTGGCTGACGCACACACGGGAAGGGGTGATGGGGAGCTTCCTCCCCTTTGGTCTGAGTCATGGGAGGGGTAGGTGAGGGGAGCTGGGCCCTGGCCCAGGCTGTCCTGGAGATCATGAGGAGCAGGAGAGGGTGCCCCGGGCAGGGTCACCTTGAGGGCTTGGCTGCACACAGCTCAGAGTAGCTGGGGGTGGGGGCTTCTCTGGACTGGGAAGAGAAGGAGTGGGAGAGGACCACCCCTGTCCCTAAGCCTGGGTGCCTCCTTCTAGTGCCCTCTCCACCCTCCCTCAGCCTTGTCACACCTCCTCAGCTTGGCTTTGGATTTCCAGAGGCTCTGGCCAGCTCAGCTTTGCCCTGCACCCCCTGCACCCGGCTGCAGGGAGCTGCCTTGAACCCCTCTCAGATCTGAAGATAGGGGGTGGGGAATGGAGGGGGCCTTCGTGTGGCTAAAGTTGCACATGTGCACACATACATATACGTGTGGAACACACATGTGCTTAAATGTGTTGACACATAAGCAGGTATCTGCCTTTGTTCCCAAGATGCCCCTACATGACCCCCTTCCCATCCCTCCACACACAAGTGAGCTCACCTTGGCCTGAGAATACTCTCTGGCAGGCTACAGGTGCCTACATCCTGGGCGCTTGGGTGTGTATGTGCACACACGGCCGCCTGCACATCCGTCTGCTTGCACGCGTCTGCTTGCACACCCCTGCGCTGGCGTTCTGAGCTGGTGCACACCTGCATGCATACCCGCATACAAATTCGGTCCCCAGCCATTCCCAGCCGGATGTGGTGCAGACAGAGGGCTCTCTGGCAGGGTGAGCTTGGCATCTCAGCCTCCTGTACAACCTGGGTGCCTGTGGCAGGGGAGGGAACTGAGGGCCTACGGAGCCAGTTGCCAGGTCAGATGGCAGCTCGGGTCTCCAGACTCCAGCCCTGAGGCTGCACGGTGGCACGGCCAAGGACAAGAATGCTTTCTGCTGGTGGGCACCCATCCCTGCCTGACTGCCTTGTGCCCCCTCATACCCTACCTGCCTGTCCCCCCCAGTCCCCTGCCGATCCCCATCCAGCCCCTCAGCCTGAACTAGCCCTGCGGGGGACCAGGAGGTGTGACTTCGCCTCACCTAGAGGTCCTGATCATCACAGCTTCTGTCTCTGTGTCTGCCTTTGATCCGAGAGGTCATCGAATGCCCTGTTCACCTGCCACCTCCTCAACAGGAACTGCCTGCCTGGACTTGTTTCTCTCCCTGCTTCCCTTTCCTCTGTTCTAACCCTCTGGGGCTCAGGGCTGTAAATTGGTTTTGCTTTAACAGCAAAGGTTTAATACTTTTTTTTTGCCCCTTTTCAAAGCACTCCGGAGTTTCCCAGGAGGAGGAGCGTGAGGTAGAGGTGGCTCTTGTGAACAGTCTCTGGCTTGCTTTGTCTGAACATGGATTTCTCTGGCCCAGTCTCATGTCTCTGGCCACTGCCCAGGGTGAGGGGTGGGCACACTGTGCTCTTCCCGCAAGTCGAGAGAGCCTGGAGTGGGAGCTGGAGCCACGTGGGGCCGAGCGGCCCGTCTGGCTTGCTGGGTGATGGGGGCAGGTCTCCCCTGGTCTGGGGCCCAGTCCCCACCTGTGAAACGAGGGTCTGCTGGCTGCGTGCCCTGTGCCATCAAGCCTGCTCCTCTGCATCTCGGGCATTCGGCAGCATGGCTCCCCTTACTTCTTCCCCATCAGATGGCTGGGCAGGCATCTGGTCCCCACTTTACAATGTGGAACACATTCAGAGGTGGTTGGCTCCATCTGGCTAATTGGGCTGGGTGGAGGGGGCTCCAGACCTCCTGACTCCTGGTGCCTTGGGAGCCTTGATCCTGGCCCGGGCTGTGCTGTGGGACTAGGCGCAAGTCGCTGCCCCTCTCCGAGCCTCTGGCTCTCCAGCCACGGAGGGGATCCAGGGCTTCGGCCACACTCTTTGGGACGGTGCCTGCCGCAGGCCTGTGCTACAGGATCAGGGCCCTCTAATGGAAAGGGAGGTGATGCTGGGGGTGTGTCTGGCCTCCCAGACTCTCACCCTCTCTCCCTTGGCTCTGGTCCTGCTTGTAGAAATGAGTTCTCCCCATGCCCTCCCCCTGTGGGAGACCCCGGCTTGGGGGGGGCCACGGTAATGCTGCTGTCCTCCCCCTCCCCCGTGGAAGCTGAGACAAGGGAATTATTTTTGGAACAAGAGCGGTTACACAACAAATGAATTATTTATCTTTGGGTATGGAGGGGAGAAGGCATTTTGTTGGGCTTCTTAATTCCTTTCCTGGATTGGAAGGTGCCTGCCTGGATACGTGGTCGTGTGTGTAAGGGCCCATTTGTCCAACAGAAGACTGTGGGCGTGGGTTGCGTTCTGGCTCACGTGAGGGCATGTGGGTCCTTGTGCAGGCAGGTGGATGAGTGTGGACAGGAGTGCTGAGGTGTGTGTTGTGTGTGTGTGTGCACACGCATGCACCTGACCTGTCACTGTCCTGTCTTCCTTCTCTGCCCACCGTCCTCAGATTCTGTCCCCTTCTTCCTATTCCTTGTTTCTTGTCTCCTTCCTTCCAGACCTCTTGACCCCTTCCTCCCTCTCTTGCTGCGTGCCACCCTCCCTTCTTTGATGCAACAGGGAGCCCAGAGTGCTGCTGAAACCAAGGGTCCCCGTGGGAGGGGTGGAGAAGGAGCAGGGCCCCGCTGGAGCTTCACTGGGGTGCTCTGAGCCTTCACTGATCTGTCCCCCCTCTCGGTGCTGCCTTTCAGGAGCCAGGAGACAGATGGGTCTCTTCCTTCCTGTCCCGTCTCTCGCGCTCCCTCCTCAGAGCTTCATTCTCCAGCCTCCTGTGGGAATCGTGGGAATCGTCTGAAGTTTGAGCCTAGAACCGGAGGAGAAGGAGGAGGAGGAGGAGGAGGAGGAGGAGGAGGAGGACAAGGAAGAGGAGGAGGAGGAAGGAGAGGAAGTCTTGAGAGCCCGTGCACCTTTCCAGAAACAGGCGGTGGGGGTGCGTCCCAGGCCCATCCTCGGTGGCCCACGCCTGCCAGTAGCACCCCTGGGAGGATCCCCCCCACACCGCCACCCTCCACCGCGGTTGGCACCGGCCACGTCTGCTCCCTCGGGGGGACCCCTGTGCCGGGGGTCGCCCCCAAGATGGTGGCGGCCCCAGGGAGGACTGTGCCGCCAGCCCCAGCCTCCCGCTGCTAGGTCCCCCGTGCCCCGGGCCCCCCTCACCCCAAGCCCGGCCTTCCAGGGGGGCCACGGCCGGCGTCATGCTGCGCCTGGGGCTGTGCGCCGCTGCGCTGCTGTGCGTGTGCCGGCCGGGCACCGTGCGCGCCGACTGCTGGCTCATCGAGGGCGACAAGGGGTACGTGTGGCTGGCCATCTGCAGCCAGAACCAGCCGCCCTATGAGACCATCCCGCAGCACATCAACAGCACCGTGCACGACCTGCGGCTCAACGAGAACAAGCTCAAGGCCGTGCTCTACTCCTCGCTCAACCGCTTCGGGAACCTCACTGACCTCAACCTCACCAAGAACGAGATCTCTTACATCGAGGACGGCGCCTTCCTGGGCCAGTCGAGCCTGCAGGTGCTGCAGCTTGGGTACAACAAGCTCAGCAACCTGACGGAGGGCATGCTGCGCGGCATGGGCCGCCTGCAGTTCCTCTTCCTGCAGCACAACCTCATCGAGGTGGTGACGCCCGCCGCCTTCTCTGAGTGCCCGAGCCTCATCAGCATCGACCTGTCCTCCAACCGCCTCAGCCGCCTGGACGGCGCCACCTTCGCCAGCCTGGCCAGCCTCATGGTGTGCGAGCTGGCCGGCAACCCCTTCAACTGTGAGTGCGACCTCTTCGGCTTCCTCGCCTGGTTGGTGGTCTTCAACAATGTCACCAAGAACTACGACCGGCTGCAGTGCGAGTCCCCACGCGAGTTTGCCGGCTACCCGCTGCTGGTGCCCCGGCCCTACCACAGCCTCAACGCCATCACCGTGCTCCAGGCCAAGTGCCGCAACGGCTCGTTGCCCGCCCGGCCTGCGAGCCACCCCACGCCCTACTCCACCGATGCCCAGAGGGAGCCCGATGAGAACTCGGGCTTCAACCCCGACGAGATCCTTTCGGTGGAGCCCCCGGCCTCGTCCACCACAGACGCATCGGCGGGGCCCGCCATCAAGCTGCACCACGTCACCTTCACTTCGGCCACCCTGGTGGTCATCATCCCGCACCCCTACAGCAAGATGTATGTCCTGGTCCAGTACAACAACAGCTACTTCTCCGACGTCATGACGCTCAAGAACAAGAAGGAGATCGTCACGCTCGACAAGCTGCGGGCGCACACCGAGTACACCTTCTGCGTGACCTCGCTGCGCAACAGCCGCCGCTTCAACCACACCTGCTTGACCTTCACCACGCGGGACCCCGTCCCGGGCGACCTGGCGCCCAGCACCTCCACCACCACCCACTACATCATGACCATCCTGGGCTGCCTCTTCGGCATGGTCATCGTGCTGGGCGCCGTCTACTACTGCCTGCGCAAGCGGCGCATGCAGGAGGAGAAGCAGAAGTCGGTCAAGGTCAAGAAGACCATACTGGAGATGCGCTACGGGGCGGATGTGGATGCCGGCTCTGTGGTCCACGCCGCCCAGAAGCTGGGCGAACCTCCCGTGCTGCCCGTGTCCTGCATGTCCTCCATCCCCTCCATGATTGGGGAGAAGCTGCCCACCTCCAAGGGGCTGGAGGCTGGGCTGGACACCCCCAAGGTGGCCACCAAGGGCAACTACATCGAGGTGCGCACAGGCGCGGGTGGGGATGGCCTGGCTCGGCCTGAGGATGACCTCCCGGACCTGGAGAACGGCCAGGGCTCGGCCGCCGAGATCTCCACCATCGCCAAGGAGGTGGACAAGGTCAACCAGATCATTAACAACTGCATCGATGCCCTGAAGCTGGACTCGGCCTCGTTTCTGGGGGGTGGCGGCGGCAGCGGGGACCCCGAGCTGGCCTTCGAGTGCCAGTCCCTCCCTGCGGCCGCCGCCGCCGCTGCCTCGGCCGCCCCCCCTGGGGCGCTGGAGCGGCCCAGCTTCCTCTCGCCCCCGTACAAGGAGAGCTCCCACCACCCGCTCCAGCGCCAGCTGAGCGCCGACGCCGCCGTGGCCCGCAAGACCTGCAGCGTGTCGTCCAGCGGCTCCATCAAGAGCGCCAAGGTCTTCAGCCTGGACGTGCCCGACCACCCGGCCGCCGCAGGGCTGGCCAAGGGCGACTCCAAGTACATCGAGAAGGGCAGCCCCCTCAACAGCCCGCTGGACCGGCTCCCGCTGGTGCCGGCGGGCAGTGGCGGGGGCGGCGGTGGCATCCACCACCTGGAGGTGAAGCCCGCCTACCACTGCAGCGAGCACCGGCACAGCTTCCCGGCGCTGTACTACGAGGAGGGCGCCGACAGCCTGAGCCAGCGCGTGTCCTTCCTCAAGCCGCTGACCCGCTCCAAGCGGGACTCCACCTACTCGCAGCTCTCCCCCAGACACTACTACTCAGGCTACTCGTCCAGCCCTGAGTACTCATCCGAGAGCACGCACAAGATCTGGGAGCGCTTCCGGCCCTACAAGAAGCACCACCGGGAGGAGGTGTACATGGCCGCAGGCCACGCCCTGCGCAAGAAGGTCCAGTTCGCCAAGGACGAGGACCTGCACGACATCCTCGATTACTGGAAGGGGGTCTCGGCCCAGCAGAAGCTGTGACCCTCTCCTTCCCGGTGAGGCCGGAGGGGGAGGGCTGGGGGCTCGTGGGGAAGGGCCCGGCGGCCCGGCCGGGGCGGGGAGGGGGGTGACAGGGGGCGCTGGGGGCCGAGGCCAAGGAGTGGACGCACACGCACACCCGCACGCACGCACCCATGCACACACCTGACCACCACCTGACTGTGAACAACCACCACCCGACAATAACGGACAGGAAAACAAAGACACGTTCTCCTTAAAGTTTACACACTGATACCGAAACCAGTCGTCTTTACTGTGCTGCCCAGGGACTCTGCTGGGGTGTGCGGGGCTGGGGGGGCGGGGCGCAGGCCAGGAAAGAAGCTGAAAGGGGGTGTGGGGTCTGGGGCTCTGGGACTAGGGATGGGTTTGGGGGCAGAGGAGTCCGGGGCGGGGAGAGGGTTCCCCTCTCCCACCCCCGGCTCTGGGGACACGTCATTCACTTGGAGATTTAGCACCAGGCAGACACCGGGCATCATTTCCTTTCTTTATGGCTGGGGAAACTGAGGCTCAGAGAAAGGAGGTGATAACCCCAGGGCCACACGTGGCAGGTTAGGCCCTTGTCCAACTTCCCAGCCCCATGCTGTGTCCCCCGCCCTTCGTCCGCCCGCCACCCCCTTCCGGAGCTGTGGTCTCCTGGGGCTGAGGAACTTGAGAGTCAGGCAGGTGCTCTTCCTTTCTAGAAAGCCCCACAGCCATGCCCCCCCCCCCCGCCCCAAGCGTGGAGCTGTGATTCATCACACTGGGGGTCCTTCGCCCCCTTGCCAGCACCCAGGAGAGATGGGAGGTGTTGCTTGCGAGAAAGGAGCAGAGGCACGGGGCCATTCCACCAGCCCCCTTCAAGTGTCTTCCAAGTAGCCTGGGAGCTGCTTCCGGGGTCTGAGGAGAGAGCAGCGGGCCAGCTCCCACCGCCTCTCAGGTGCAGGCCCCCTTGCCCCAGCCCCCCAGCCTCTCTGGGCCTCTAGGACCCCTACTCATCCCAGAGGGCAGCAGTGAACTGTGATGCCTGGGAGCAGTGGGGAGGCAGGGTGTCACGGGGGTATCTCTGCCTGTGCCTGCACGTCCTGGCCTCCCGCCTGCCTGACCCCCTTGTGGGACTTCGGGGGCAGCATCTCTTGGCCTGCCCAGGGGAAGGAGGGCTTTCCCAGGCTTACTCACCCACCACTTCTTGACTGCCCTTCCCTCCCCACCCCCTGGCCAGAGGGGCTCCCATGTTTCCATGGAAATGGCCACTCCTCCCCTTGCAGACCCCCACCCAACATCGAACAAAGCACAAACAGTGAGCACCACCCCTCCCTGCTGGGGAGGGAGCGCAGACAGGTTCTTGGGGCCCCTCCCTCTCCCTGGCCAGCTTCTGTCTCCATGGCAACCCAGGGCCTGGCAGTTGGGACTGTTGGGCTCCTGGGGGTTCTCTCTCAGTGTGGGCGGTGGAGGGTGGTAAGGGAGGGCAGGGCCAGGTGGCTGTGGCCTCTCTCACAGCTAGGGGCTTTCAGGGATGAGTCTGGGGGCGGCGGGGAGGCTGACCTGGGGTCCTGAGGCTGTGGGGGCTTGAGCACCTTTGGTTAGGACGTGGGCCAGTGGGCGGTGGGGACAACTATAGCTTTGCCCACCTGCCAATGTGCTGCTTGGCTCCCCACCCACATCAGGATGGGGAGGAGCCCACTCAGCTCCCCCCACAGCCCTGTTGGAGACCCCCTAGCCTCTGGCCTGTCACCCGTTGGGTTTCTTGAGATTTGGGGAGTGTGGCTGTGGGGTGAGGGTGGGCACTGGGGTGGGATCAAGACCTGTACTGTGTGTAGGGGGCTGTCCTGACCAGGAAAGCTAGTGCCATCTCCTGGGCTGGGGTGGGGGGGTCTAGCGACCTTTCTGCCAGGGGTAGGGTCTGGGGGAGGTCTTTTGGGGGATTGCCAGGGCTCAACGGAGCGCCTCTCTTACACCCACTTGGGGGACAGACCAAGCCCAGGGCTCACTTTGGGAGTGACATTTGCAAAGAAAGGACTGTTTTTCTGGGGAATAGAGAGAAGGGGGCCAGCAGGATAATGCAGAGCAGACCTCCCTCAGCCCCTGAAACCTGGCCCCCCCCAACCCCTCCTCACACCAGATTGGCAAAACTGAGAACAGCAAGCAGGCAAAGCCAGTGGTGTGAGAAAGCAGATTCCTGTTATATTTGCATGACGATTTTACTGTATTTTTCTGAGCAAACATCTGTCGTGTATGTGCCAGTTTGTCCAGACTCCCAGGCCCCCCTCCTGCCACCCCCTCTTGCCCACATTCCCTCTGTTGTGATCTGACAAGCAGCTCTTGAAACCTGGGGAGGGACCAGCTCTGCAAAAGACCCAAAACAGGTGCCACCGAAACGCAGCCCCCACTCCGTACCCATTTCCTGTCTCTCTGAATGGTGGATCCTGCAAGCGTTGCCTCACCCCGTGGGTCCCAGTTTGTGCCCTCCTCCTTCCCCCTCCTCCCTGCCAGAGAAGGGTAGCCCCAGGGAAGGGAGCATGGGAGGACCTCTTTGTCCCACTTGCTGCCCTTCTCAGATGAAGATGGGGCGGGGGGGCTGAAGAGGGAAGGGCTGGGTGGTTTGGCCATCAGGTTGGTGGGGGGACAGTCACACTGCTGAATACTGGGGGCTGAGACCTCAGGGCTTCATGGGTGGTTTTATGGGGAGGCTTGGGGCCCTGAGTGGGGGGAGCCCGTGGAAGGAGCTGGGGCCCAGGGTGGACTGGCCTCAGTGGAGATGGAGCTTCCCCCGGGGAGGGCCCCTGGCAGCAGGTGCGGGAGCCCCACCCTTGCCATTCCCCCATCATTCCTGGTTGAAGATGACCTCTAAAAACCGCAGGCCATCTTACTTTGGGGGCTTTAAGGCTAGGTCTCCGTCTTAATGGCGAGGGTCTTGCCACCTTGGGAGGCAGTCAGCCTTCACAACCTAGATCACACCAACCTTTGAGACAGAACAGGATCTAACTTGGGCCTCTGGCCTCCCAGCCAGGCTGGATCTTCAGCTGCCCAGCCAGTGCCCTCCACCCGGGACAGGTGCCAGCGCACCGTAGCCCACCTTGGAGGCTTTCTTGCATCTGTGTCCTATATCTTCCTGTTCAGGATACTTCTTCTCCCAGCCGTGAGCAAAATACGAGACACAAATGAACATTCCCGTTGAGGCGTCAGGCTGGCCGAGGCCCTGTGTTTGTAATGGCGATGAGCACGGTGGGCCTGGGCCAAAGCCTGGGCAGGTAGGGAGGGTGGGCAGGCAGGAGGGAAGGGAAGGGGAAGCTACTGGGCAAGGCGGAGGGCGAGGAAGAGGAGGAGATGTGGGTGCTGTACCCTGGACCTCCTGAGGAGGCCTCCTTACCTTGGGTTGTGCCTGGGCTTTGCTGTCACTGTCAGAGCATCTCCAGAGGAAATTCCTGGGTGCCTATCACTGGAGGATGGCACCAGGAGGGCTACTGTCACCGGGAGGGCTGGCACTGCTAACCCTCTGTTGGAGCTAATGGTTTTCCAGAAGGGAAAAGCAGAGGTCGGGGGCGGGAGGGTACAAACAAAAAAACACCTTAGTGTAGGTGTAGACACCTCCACAGGGGAGGCCCCTCCCCTCTGCATAGCTCCCAGGGGTCCAGGGGACAGTGCCAGAGGACTGTGGAGGCTGCCCCCAGTCCAGGCTGGGGGTGGGGTGGGGTAGGGCTGTCTGTGGGGTGGTGGGAGTGGAAAGACCCACCCACGGGACAGCAAGAGTAGGCCTGCAGGGCCCCAAGGGCTGGAGGGGCAGGGGAGAGGCTGGGCCTGGCCCTGGGGCTCTTTCAAGTTGCAGACCAGAAGCCGCTCAGCATCCCCACTCCTGGAAATTTGACAGAGAAGGAACAGAAGCTCAGGAAAGGAAAGGAAGGAAATCTTCTAGGGTCTCGAAACCAGATAGGGCTGGACCGAGTCCAGGAAGGGGAACCAGGCATGAGAAGCAGGAGTAACAGGCCCCCGCTTGTAAAGGCCTCCCGTGCAGACAAGGGACAGCCACAAAATGTTCCCCAGTGGGACACTGTGTGGAGAATTAAAAAATAAAAACGGAGGGGATGGTGCTCAGGGCACGGGGAAGGGGCTCAGGGCACCCCTCTGACAGGGGCCCGGCTGGGAGGACTAACCCACCAGCTGCAAGGACCAGACCAGAGGGGAGGGAGTGAGGCGTGGCTGGGTGTCCCCAAGAAGCTCCTCAGGTGCCCCCACACCCTCCGAGGGAGCCTACCCCACCCCACTGGTGGCTGAGCAGCGGGGGGGATGGGGCTCTTTCTGGGTGGCAGCACTGGGGGTGTCTGACCCTGAGGGGCCTAAGGGGGCAGGGCTGACCCGTGCCCAGGGGGGCTGGCGGGACGCCTGGGGCTTGCTCAATCCATCCCTCCCCACTGAGGCTTCTGCTCCGCAGTGCGCCCTCCGTCCCACGAGCTGCAGGGCTCCTTGTCCTCCATCCTGACCCACGTCCTCCCACCTCTAAGACAGAACCAGTATTTACACTTTTTGCCTCTCCTGCCTGCCTCAGAAGCCTCATTAAAGGTCCCTCACTGCTGCTGAGCTGAGGGAGAGGAAGGGGGTGTCAAATGGGGTGCGCGGGAGGCTGTGGGCTTTCTCTTGCTTCTTGCCCCTCGCCCAACAAGCACAGGGCTGGACAGGGGCAGGGGTCCCTCCTGGCTCCCTCCTCCCCTTCTCCCTCCCTTGCTCTCTCCCTCCCCCCACAAGGAGCCACCAGCCCCGTGGGCACCTGCGGCTGGCTTGGCACCTGGTTTGGGTACTGCAGAGCTGGACTCCCGGCCCTGGGCTATGAACCTGTGACCCCTAGCTGTGTGTGGACCTTTCCTTCCTCGGGGTGGGGGGGTGGCCCAAAACCTCTCCTTTTCTTCTTTTGGGGGGGGTAATAACTTCATTTATTTTCTCTTCCCTCTATCTGCCTCCCCCTCCTCCCGATTTCCTGTTTTAAACTGAATGGCACGAAATTGTTTTCCTCA